ACAGTTGGATGGCAATTGCTCCAGCCGACATACCAAGGTGTCTGTCCTGCTGATAAATTAGAGCGTGCGCTCGGCATGGCAAGCACATCACGTAAGGACTTGAAGTCTGAGCGAAAATGCAGGAAGGGACAATCCTCATCGATCGCGCCAGGTATGTGTTCATATAGGTTTTTAAGATAATCAAAATTTAATATCTTCTTAGCAGCCCAATGTGCCACTGCATTTTTTATTATAATAGGTTGTGATGAATACGCATAAGGTGCAAACTCTTCACGTGTCATATTTTGCAAAACCTTTGGTCCGGAAACATCTCTGTAAATGATAATAGATTAGTACATAATTTCACACTTCCATATTTTATTAAAAACCTGCAAAAACCGCAATCACTTATAGGCCGCGTTGCTTCCCACACAATATAATTATTGGGTAAAAAGCAACGCACACCCAAGAGGAATGTAATTAGTTCATAGAATACGGGCGTCACTATCATTATGAAGGCTAGGATGCCCAGCACGTACCATAAATTTATTTTATTTGGATTGCGATCAGCATCGCGTGACTTTCTGTATGCTTCCTGTAAATCTGCGGTAGTAACTAGGCCCGTGCGTAAGGCGTCATCGTGCAATGCATCTAATTTTCGCACAAAATCTTCACCTAGAGTTTCGCGTGTACGTTCCGCGGCAGGATTTGCATTCCGAGAAAATGAACGGTTCCATAACTTAAGAAATATTTTAATATTAATGTTTAGCAAATGTATTTAGGTAATAACAAGAACATACCAAAAACATGATGCGCAGTTGGCAAAAACGGAAACGCGGGCAAAACTCCCTGCTTTTTATATGGTTATTCTGGAGCAGCCTAGCTTATAAACTTTTTTGTTTAATAACTTTACGGAGTAATATAACTACAACAAAAATCCCTGCTGAAATTGTAAACAATTGGAAGCGTCAAAACAAGACAATTGAACAGCTGATTTATGCTAAGGATGGTAAGGTTACTTAGAAACAATCGATATGTACTGAAATAAATATATATGCTTTGAAATTCACGTATGACATTTTCATTAATTTTTTATTTTTTTTCTTTAAAATGGAGCAAAGTATGTATATATTGTTATTCCATAACTTAATCCTTAATTTTTCCAGTGGTCTGACATCCGCCCTTGGGACAGTTGATTATTCAAAACACATAAGCGATTATTTTCACCAAATTAAAATCGCCCCACGTATTTTCTTTTCCGTTTCTACTCAGTTGAGTAGCTGGCAACGCTTTGCAAAATGCAACCATTCATATTGGAGCCAACTGTCACCAACAACCCCCCGCAACTCGTTCCAAAACACCTGATAACATTTTTTTTTTTTTATAATCAACAATTTTC